GAAAGACAACCCTTTGTTTCAGACATTCCTATTATACTTGAGGTGGGCTGGTTGCGTTTTTATGAGGCCAGACATGCTGAATTTGTAGAGACCTGTGAGCAATGCAAATTGTGGCTGTCTAGAAGCAAGAGTAAAAAGTAAGAATTCTGCAAAGCTCTGCCTAGCCAAAATGTTCTCAGTGGGTGGGGAGGGATCGGGACGATTGCGGTTCTACTAGTTTTGGTCTTATATAGTATATGAGGTATACTTTCTAGACTGGGAAAGCATACTTCTGTCCTGTTTTGTATTCTACCTAAAAATAACATACATGGAGTGAAGATGTTTGGATTGTAGGGACTCTTTTTTCCCCTCAAAAATGAGTATTGGACAAATATGACGGCACATCAGCTGCACCAGAAGTACGTTACACTATACAATTGAGGGAAACTCCACATTTCTGAAAGCATGGGCAACCAGCATCCTACCATTCCATTAGTGGTGTTTGAATAGTTTCTTAGTCTTCCTGCTTCAAATGCTAAATGGTGTAGTATCTTTAAAGGAGCATGGGTAGGAAGGACTTCAGTTTCACATCTCTGCTTAAGTGGGACAATTTTCCACAGCAGTGGTAGAGAATAGTGGTCATACTCTGATAGAAGAGTGAATTAATTACTAGTTGACTCCAATGAATAAGATCTATTTAGAACAGCATTCTAACTTCTTTTTGGGTAAATAAGCACGGAGCAGCCATGTTCTTGATCTTGTACTAAACAAACAAATGAAGAAAACTGGATTTTCTTTTTATTTTCTCACTGACTTTGTGTTTTAGCATGGGTACACGATAGAAAAAGAAAACTTCTCATTTGAAAGGTGTGAATGAGAGAGGCTATGTATTCTGCTTTAGCATACTGATATTTTAGTAGGCTTTAATATTAAATTGTTTCTAGTCCAGGCAGGTATCTTCCATGGCAAGAAGGAAAGAATCAGTGCATCTTACAGCAGAAAGCCACAAGTATTTGACTCGTTGAAGTTGCTTTTTGTTAGTGTATGTTTTTCATATCCAGAATGGTCTGTGTGGAGGAATGGCAGATGATTGGCTAAGCTGCAATTTAAAACAAAAACTCTGTAAACTGCATGATAGACTACTATTGCTAGGCTTTGTTTTGGAGTCTATAAATAAGTTGTTGCATGCCAATTCAGTGAGTAAGAATTACTGCTTGAAAAGCAGTTTCACTGTTGCAGATATGCTTTATGGAATTAACGTGAAGTACATGTGAACAACACTTTTAACTTGTCACAGAGTTACAGCTGCATGGTCAGTTGAGGCATTGCTTGGTTGTATTAAATGGTAGGTGAAAATTATTCTGGTAAATTTTATGCAAGAAGACCGTCAGTGTTTTTTTCTCTTGGTATCTCACATGACAAAATATTTTTCAGTTTGGTCTTAGGAGAAGGAAACTTGAGGTGATTTCATGTGATCACTGGAGAGATATTTTATAGTTTGGTGGTTTTTTTTTTTTCTCCAATGTGGTACAAAGGTTAAAAAACCCAGTTCAGCTACAAGTTTAGTTTTGTGTATTCTTTTTAATTTCTTTTGTGTGTGTATTCAGTGTGAGTAAGCAGAATAAAGTTCATAGAATTCAGGGTTCGAACAGAAGATGCTTCGGAGGTCTTTCTGTGATGAGTGGTTTGGGTTTTTTTATATTAATGAATATTAGGAAACCTAGGTATTTGGTGATATAAATGATTATATAAGCTTACAACAAACAGATACTGTTTGACTTAAAGTACTTGCAACATTTTTTAACTTTTGCAACCTTAAGAATATAGTAATTTCATTTTTTTAAAATAAAATACAAAATGCATCTATGCACATAATTCTGTGTAGTGTGGCATATATGTAAAGCAGGGTAGCTCATTTGGATCTAAAGTTTTATATTTTTATTTAATATCGGAGGGCTTGTCTGGCTTCACAAGTTATTTTGCACTTGTTCTTGTGGCCTCTTTGGGTCTCTTAAACCTGATAAGTAGAACGAAGAAAACGATGGGAAAGAATGAGTGAGTGCTTGATGACGTGGGAAGATATATGAAACTTACCTTGCTCTTCTGTTGTGGGTATACCAGTGTAACTCCCTGTGCTAGTACTTTGTTTAGGACTAAATTAATGTATTCTGAAATAATTGCAGTTATGCTGCTATTTATTTATAATGTTTACGACTACAGAAGACCAAAACTATCACAATACTTGCATCAGTAAAGTTTGCAGCTTTAGGTCTGCAAATCCATTTCCTTTTATACAGAAAAATCAGACTACTTTGTTTTCAGGTACTTTTCTTGTCATTAACTTCAAGGGTCAATTTGAGGATGCTGAAAAGGGAAAAAAATCCTGAATGATTTAGCCAAACATTCAGCAATTGGTGGGGCCTGAGGAATGATACAAAACTGGTCAATTAAAAAAATGTCCTCAATGGCAAATTATTTGGGATTGAGTTATGTTCAGGGATGAAGTCTATTGCAGTATTCCAGCAAAATACTCTTCTGACAGCACCAACTAGGCAAATTTTTAAAGATTACTTTCTGAGAAGGTTATGTATACACTGTGGTTGGTTTGTTTGTTTTATAGCTTTTTCCTTCTTACAGCTTTCCATGCAGAAGGGTTTTGTGGTTCTAACTTTATAATATAAGGAGTATCTTTGTCATGGGTAGTTAAAATGTGGCCAAGATACTGTGTCCTCTGAGAGTGTTCTTAAAAAGATCTGTCCTAACTGCTGTTGATGTAAACAGGGGGTTCATTTGGGTTCTTTTGTAAATTTTGACTCAAATATTTCAAGAAAACAAAATCCCAAGCTTCATCATTAGAAAAAGAAAAACAGTGTGAGGTATAGGGCTGTAATTCAGTGAACTCTTTAGAAAGGGCAGTGACTTCAATTAGTATCTAATTGCTTTAAAAAAACCTAAGGCGTGCGCTATAATAAGCCATTAAATGTGAAAAATCAATATATGTTGAGGTTGTTCAGCCAGGTCAAGAAATAGAGGTTGCTTATGTAACGTTGATCTCTTTCCCACTGTGACAGTACTTTGTAATGTGTGTTCAGTTATGTAGTCTCATTCTGTTTCTCAGTAAAATTTTAGAACTACATAAGGTAAGTACAGGCATCGCTTCTGTGGACTGCAGAAGACACTGCTGCACTTCAGCATCCTAAATTCCACAAGTCAGTATGTGGTGAGAACGGTCAGAGTGTCTTATGTGTGTGTTCAGTGGGTGGAATTAACTGAAATGACAGTTGGAGACCAAGCAAGATCGAGGTTTTGGTGGAAGGGAGAGAAGCTTTGACTATTTTAAAAGGTAGTATTAGCATCTGCAGGAGTTACTGTTAACTGTCTAGTGGTCTGGCTGTAATTGATTTTTTCAGACCTGCATTATAAAGGCTGTCTAATCCTACCTTGATTAGATTAGTAAGCATGCAGCTGTTTTTTTATACACACACACACACAAACTTGCTGAATCTTTCTGATGTGAGTTTAAAGTTTAGCTCCTAATGAATACAGATTATAATGTCTCCTTCCTGGAGATCTCAGCAGTAGGTGGAGTATTGATTGGACGCAAAGACTTCCCTCTCTAAGAGGGCACCTACTAGTCGCCAGGCAATGGACAGCTTTCTTGGTTTTCACATGTTAAAGAGCATTAAAAGCCAACTAAATTATTTTAAAAGCAAAATATTAAGAAAGTAAACAATTGTTGTCATATGTAGGGAATCTTGTCATATTCTTTATGAGTAGGTGAAGGTTCAAGATGTTGTCCAAACTGTGAAATTTAAAAAAAAAAAAAGCTGTCAATATATTAACAGCAACAACAACTGTGCATTCACTGCTAAGCTGCTGCTTTATAAAGACAGATATTGAAAACATCCTTAAGTTTTCTACCAGAAGTGTAGTAATACATTCTGTTTAGCTCTTTGTAAAGTTTAGATCCACAGACACTGAACTCTGTCAGTGGTTGATTAGTTACCCTTTGATTAATTCAAACGTATGAAATATTTCCTAGTAAGAATGTTTTTTTTTCCTGACCATGATGTGCTTTGGGGAAAAAACCCACGAAATTATGTAAGTGATCTTCCATTTGGTATGAACAGCTTGGTAAATACAGCCACCATCTCTGTTCATTGACACAACTACGAACTACGTAATTTTCCAATTACTTTGATGCTGCCAGCCCAGGCTCCTGTCTTAGACAGACTTAGTCAGGTCAGCAAAAGAAACTGTAGGAATTGGGAACTTGCTAAGTGTCATGGGAGCTGCATGCGTTCCTGAGGGTTAGATAAACCTGCCTGGTGCCATGCTGCTTGACCCACACTGCATGATGGAGCAGAGTGCAGATTCCAGAGACAGCTCTCTGTGGATTAGTAATGCACATGCTGGGATGCAGGAAGGGCTTACCAGCTTGTTTCGAAGATTATCAATAGAGTGTGTTCTTACACTGTTGCACCTGCATTACTAAATCCTGCTGAGGATGCCCTAAAAGGACATGCCATGTTGAGGTTGACACCATGTGTTGTGACTTGGCTCTGTCACTTCTGTAAGTGAGCAGAGTTTCACGGAAGAGTGCTCCTCAAACAGGGGGAAGTCTCTCTTGCTGCAGCAGCAGCATCCTAATTAGGCTCTTCTGGAATAACAGATATCTGCAAGTTTAATCTCTCTTTGTTAATCCTATTGATCGGGAATTGAGAACTGATTGCAAATTTGTGTTGCTGCATGTAGAATCAGTACGTAATGTTTTATGGTGTACTTAAATGAAGTTCTGTGTTGTGTTCTAGGTAATCATATTCTACCTGATGAAGATTTGGCTTCTTTTCATTGGAGTTTACTTGGTCCAGAACATCCACTAGCTTCACTTAAGGTACAAATTTAATATAACTACTAGCAATGAAGCTAAAATCAATCATAACAGTTAATCAGAGCAGTGTAATAGGTTAATTCACAGCAACTATGCAAGGTTCTTGTTCTCGGTCACCCTCGGGTGTCCCAGTCCCTCTCTGTTGACTGCAGAGGATACCTGGGGCGATTAGCCTTATGAGGCTAAACTTAGCTTTTGTGATCCCCCTCGGTGCCCTTGAGCTACATGAGCCATGCACTCAATAGCTTCAGTGTGGTTTTGCTTTGAGAATGTAGCTTCTTACTCTCTTCTTTTTTTAAGAGGAGAATTTTTTGTTTAGTCATGTTCTTCAACCGTCAAAAATAATTAGCTGGATATCTTCCTACCATATTGTTTTATTTTCTACTGATCTGAGTTTGTGTGTGTTAGTTTTCTGTGCTGCTTAAAGTGCAAATATGCTAGAGAATAGGTTGCATAAGAAAGCTAGTATGGCCCTCAGTAGAAGGTTTTTTTTGTGACAAGTAACTTTTGTCTGCTGCTCTTAGTTTACAGTATGTCTGTTCTGCTGCTTCATCACACTTGCTTTGTGCATCTGCCAAGTAGACAGCTATAAAAGGGAAACTGGACACATCAGAGGATGGGGTAATAGTGACCTTTCTTTCTCTCCGCCACAATAGACATATCTTTTTCCCTTTCTCCCAAGGTGGGCCATGCAGCAAATCAATTTGCTTTTTGTAAGTTCTGAAAGACTATTTTGTTATGTCTACAACAAAAATAGGTGGGGTTTTTTCCCCTTCTGTTCCAAAAGTTTATTAAGCATTGAAAAATCATAATTTATTTTGCTGAAGGTAGAATTTAAAAACAGATTTGAGATTTTTAGCAGGTTTTTTTTAAGGCTTGCACATGCCTTGCTTAGTGAACATCTGTGACAATTTGATGTTACTCTCATCCCTTATTTTGCTGCTGCTGCTGTGTTTAGAAACGTGTCAGCACGTTGTAGTGGCGAAACAAAATATGCATGCAGGTTTGCTACTTCCTTGTAAAACTTGAGATGAAAAAATGAAAAACTGAAAAAGTGACTATTTTCATTTTTTACTAAAAAGGTTATAATGTAGGACTTCTTTCAAAGTGGTTGATAAACTTTCTGATGTTCAGAATACTTAATCTGTATTTTAGTCTGAGTAGACTTGTTTTACAGCCAGTTGAGAATGACTTCAGACACCTAGACCTTCTGAAAAACCTTCTAAATACGTACTGAATTGCTTGACTAGAATGAAAATTAGGTATTTGTCGCCTTTGCTTCTAGATCTACATTTTCAGTAGAAACACCAATTGGTCTTTGTAACTGACATCCTAAGGAAATGAAACATGTTTCCTTAGAGCGTTACTGGGCTATCTTAGGCAGTCCTCCCTCTATTTATTTAATCTGTTGGCCAATGTTAATCGGATTTGAAAGTGGTTCCCGTTCGGCTGTTAGGGCTCGGTGAAAACTGATACACTGTTATCAGTGAAAAAGACCCAAATTAGTGCCCTTACTAAGGGAAAAGGCTAGCACAACAAATGATTTGTTTAAGTTCACAGCAGCTCACTGGCCAGTTATGTACATATTCCTAAACTAACCGCAGCATTTGTGGCTCCTGGCTGATAATGATGTCGGAGAGAAAGAAGAAAGGCTAAAGCAACAAGGACGAAAGTCTACAGGAAACCAATCCTCATGAGCTGCTGTTCACGGAACAACTTACTATTTTTTTATTTAATTTTTTTAGCTTCCGTTTCACCAGCGCTCATGGTTTGAAATTATAACTTAAGTAGCTCATTAACTCAATTTAATTTCATTTTACATAGTATGTCAATGATATCATTACAGCGCTCTCTGTGGGGACCTCTTCTTTTAATTGTAGATGTGCACAAAGCAATATTCCTTGTAAATTTTATGAATGCTTAAAAAAACCCTAATAGACACATTTATATTAGCCACAAGCTTGATAGCAAGAAGTCGTTTCAGAACAGTTATAAAAAGCAAAGCTGTCACGAAAACTGGAAATGGTGGGGGAAGTTGTTGTGGTTGCTCAGGATGTCATCCCTGGGCTATACTTACAAACTTTGCTTTGTTGCATCTATTTAGAGCTACTATTGAGTATTCTCCATACTCAGGAACCAAGGTCTTTAATTCCACATCTCATTCAACTCAGGATTTGGAAAAATTTTTCTCATTGTGTAAAGATTTTAATCTTCTCTATCTAAGACAGTATGGTATTAAGCATCAGAGCTAACAGATTCAGTTCCCAATGACCTGATTTGTTGCTTTTCAGTGAGAACTATGTGACAGTTAATAATGTACTATTTATTTTCTGCATTCTTTCTCACTCTCTTATTATGATGTAGCAAAATGGTTACTCTTCCTACAAGAGATGCTTTCCTACTTCACCAATTCAAAAATGTAACTTAGAAACTACCAGTCTTCGCTCGCAGAAAATTGATGTATCTGCTCAGGTGTCAGTATAGTGAGGTGAAAAAGGCAAAACTGAGGAACCTGTACCTCTGTTTTAAAGAGGGACATGAGAGTGGTCTGTTCACCTAGGAACAGCTGAGTAGAAATGAGAAAAAGGAAGGGAAATGGAAACGTGAACAAGGAATCCATATTTCACATCTAGAAGGACAGGAACCTAACAGTCAGGACAACATCTTTACGTGCTGGATAAAAAGCCATGCCTTTCAGAAAAAAACCCAACAATGACCATCAGCTCAGCAAAACTGTGAAGTTCCATAGACAAATTTAAATGAAGAGATTTGAATTGCTATTGCTGCAAAAGGGAAGAAGAATCAAAAACTGGCACTACAAGCTGTTCTGAGTCAGGGTCTTGTCTGTCTCAATGACCCTGTGTAAACAGGTAATGCATCTAATAAATGTGTAGACCTGTGCTTGCATCCTGTTAACCTGACTGAGTGCAGAGTTCACTGAAATGACCCCCTAGGTCAGAAGCTGAAACAAGAAAGGAGTTGATAGACTTCCTGAGAAATAATTTGGCTGCTAGACTTGTTTGGAAACTAGCATTACACTACTTTTTATTTGTGTGCTTTGGGCTTTATCTTTAAAGACAAAGACAATTCCGTTCTCATTCTGGGAGAGCTTGTTACAGGATGGAGCTTCAAGATCAATGTATAAAATCATCAGAATGGTATTAGGAGGGCAGTTTCTTATCTCTGGAATGAATTAGTATCTATTTAGGAGTGCATACCTCCGAAGAAGTCCAGACTTTTTTCACAAGGTAACCTTAGAAACAAGTCTTAATGCAATCTCCCTTTTTGAAAAAGAGTATGCAGGGAAACTTTTGAGACTACCATCTTCATTTTGTGATGGATCATCTTCCCATTAGGATGGTTTTGAAAGGATTTCACTGGCCTGTCTTTGGCAAACCCTTGATATGCCCATCATCCAATATTCCACATCTGCTTTTACCTGGCAAAATTAGTTGGTTAATCTCCTTGGTTGTTTCATCTCAGTGGAGAGGCAGAGAGAGATGCTTCTAGAAACCAATCAAAAATGTGCAGGTTAGGGTCCTGCTCTGAATTGCTCTAGGAGATTCCTGTCTTTCTCTGTTTGTTGACTTCAGAGGGTGTCTGCCAGAGGGAGACTAATATGCAAAGTAAGTGCTTGGGTAATTTACTGCTGCTCAGATAATAAAGGTAGTACTCTTAAGGTATGCTTAAAGTAAGTGTCTTTTTTTTTTTTGATGCTAAGGGTTATCATAAGATGACGCAGGTCAGAAAGGTCCTGCTGAAAGTATGGTCAGTTTAAGGTCAGAACAGGTTCCTCAGGGCTTTGCCTAGACTAGTCTTGAAAATCTCTGAGGTTGGAGATTGCACAACCTGTCAGGGCAGCCTGCTCCATGGTTTGACAGTCCAACAGTAAAAACGTTTTGCCTTGCATACAGTCTGAACCCATCTTGTTTCAGGCTATGTCTGTTGTCTCTCGTCCTTCCACAGTGCAGCACTGTGAAGAGCCTGGCTCCGTGTGCTTGATAACCTTTTTGTAGGTATTGGAAGGCTGCAGTTAGGTATCTTCAAAGCTTTGTCTTTGCCAGGCTGAATAAGCCTGATTCCCTCCTCCTCTTCTCATAGAACAAGTGCTCCAACTTCTTAACCATCTTGATGGCCTTCTGCAGAACTAGCTCAACTTTTTTGACATCTGGCTTGAGCCCAAAACTGAATGCAACGCTCTAGAGGTGATCTAACCTAAAGAGCGCTGAGGAGCAAGATCCTTCGATCTGCTGGCTATGCTCCTGCTACGCAGCCCAGGGTGCAGCTGGCCGCCTCTGCTGCCAGGGCACCCTGCTGGCTCATGTTCAGCTTGCTGTCTTCCAAGAGCCCCAGGTCCTTTATGGCACAGCTCCAGCCTGCAGAATAGCCAGGGCTTATTCCTGCACAGGTGCAAGAGTTTGCTTTTGTAGTTGTTGAATTTCTTAAGGTTCCTGTTGGCTCCTTCCTCTAGCTTGTCTAGGTCTTTCTGGAGGGCAGCCCAGCCCTCGAGTTTGTGGTCGTGGTCAGGGTTGTCACACAGGTTGTTTCATATGACATCTACCCGTATCACATCTTTGGCTTGTGTTTCTATTCTCCCATTTTCTTTCAGACATCATTTTTGTTCCTGTTTAGATTTGTTTTTCTCAGAGCCCTATGTGTATAAATTATTAGCAAATGATCTCAGTGTTGTGTGTATTATTGTTACCATCAAGACATGCAGAATTAGGAAAAGGTCAGTTTCCCAACCAGGCTGGAGGGAGGAGGAGAAAGAATTTCTAATTGAATAACCCAATCTTCAGGGAAAAGCTGAGCTTTGCTGATTTGAGAGGATTTTAAGTCATGCAGGGAGCTTCTTGCCTCTCCAGAAAGTTTGTCATTAGATCAGATGCGCTACAAGCTCATAGGATTAGATGTTTTTAACCTCTAAAGGCTGAGACAAAATCCAAACAGTTTGGATGTGATCTCTAGTAGAAATTAGTAGACAAAAATAACAAAACCCAGGCAATTGGTTGAAGATATGAAGAATACAACATCCTTTTTTCTCGACAGTGGAAAAAAAAAAAAAAAAAGGTGTTCCTTATGTGTCACCTAGCTGAATGTTCGAGGTCTCTTTTTTTAATGGTTTGAAAACAAAAATAAACCGATTATCTGTTTCCAGCAGGCACAACAGTAAATGCTGGTACTTGTGTTGATTAGCCTTGAAAGGTTTCACTTCCTGGAGACAGTGGGCAACTGGAGTTGTCTCAGAATTGGGGAGCTTTTCCCAAGGGTAGTTTAGGTACCTTCTACAGTATCCTAATAATCCTGTGGAGTTACGCATATGTGAATCTATTCTCTTTCAATAAAGCATTTTTGCAAAATTATTTTGTCAAAACCAAGGCATTTCTTACCTTGTAGCTTCTGGGCTTGTGATGTTGCTCTCTCTCTCATTTTGACCTGTGTAGAATTAATTTCCTTTCCCCGCTTAATCTTTTCAGAGTGCATTAATAGGTCACTTGTGATTTTTGTCAGTGGTCCATCATGAAATTCGAGTAGTCCTTTTACAACTAGAAAAGAAACCATGCAGTTTTCAGATGTCATGCTTTTGAGCCTGATCACCTCCAAGTGTGTGATCTGTCTCCATGTTTGCCTTTCCAAAATTGATTTTCCATATTGTTGCTTGTCTGAAGCTCTTCTGTAGAGGATAAGGAAAAAAATACCTTCTAGGAAGAAATCTCTTAAAATGAGAAATTGAGAAAATATGGTGCTGGTTTTGCTCTGAAATGCTTTGTGTGCAGCTAAAAGTAAGTTTGAACCATGAACAGGTTTGCTGTAACTTTTGCTGTTAAGTATTGATTTTTCCCATACCTAACACTTAATAAGACTTCGCCTGTATTTTTGTGTACATGGTATTAGAAATACTATTTATTATTTGGTACAAAATCTCAGATTTTTGGATATCTGGAAAGCTCTAAAATGAATAGAAATCTTTTCTTCAATGTCAGGAAAGTACCTCTTATTTCTACACTTTTCATTTTGGGCCTCTGTGTAGGTCATGACATTCTTAGTTTTGAGGGTGTTCTCACATCTGGACTGGACATGTTTGAATCAGAACAAAAGAAAATAAAATCCTAATGTCTGAAATGTCTCTAAATCTGTAATACGTACTTTCAGAAGGTCTCTCTTCAGGAATTAAGAATATGCTTCAGTGAGGTCTTTAGGCTGTTTGTTTAAAAGCAGATAAACTGGAGGCGATATGCATAAGTAAGCCTGTAATATGTCTCGCTTGAGCTTTGTACCTCTAGTGTGCGAGCTGAATATTAGTACTAGAGTGATGTGATTTCTTCTCTTGATGGTAACTGCTTACGATTTCTTAAATATTACTATCTTGGAGATCACATAAAACTAATCATAGATTGCTTACTCCTTCCATCCACTGAATTTTCAAGCAGAGATTGTAGAAACACTCAGGTAGCAATGCAGGGTTTCTCCAAGGGACTCTGCAGAGAGCACAGCTAACATGACACAGCCATGTTACGATTCAGCCACTTTAGAGATGTGTAATTATTACCCATACAAATAAAATGGTAGGTGTTCATAAAACTGCTTGGATTACCAGTGAGAAGAAAATCTGTTGCTTCTGCTTGCAGATTGGGTGCAAAAATTTTATCATCGATATTTGTGACTGTAAGCTTACATGCGAATATGATCTATATTTAATATTGTATATATTCAGAATGCACACTCGTGAAAATTTAGAATTTTCTGTCTGAAGTAGAAATAATTACCATGCCACTAACTACACTAAACAGAACTGTTCTTAACTTGGGCTCATAAAATGTGGGGCTCATCCCTGGTAGAGAATGACCAGGTATAGAATGAATATCCTGACATTTGTAAAACAGTAGACATTAGGAGAAGGAAATAAATTAACATGGGAATCTGTGTAAAAATTCCATGGTCTAAGTACGAAAGCAGCAAGTAAGTGCAGGAAAGAAAATAATTACACATGGTAGACTCCAGATAAAATAAAAAGGGGTTGTGGTACAGATTTTCAAGTTGCAAAGATAAAACTAATGAAGTATTAATCAGAAGTTTGCATAAACATTTCTGACAAGGCTGAATTGCAGTATTTTCTAGTAAAGTATGATACTTCTGTGTAGAATGCAAACATAAAGATATTTCACATTTTCTCGTATCTTAAAAGGAACTGTTAAATAATGATCTCTCAAGTCTTGAATCACTGAATTTTGCAAATAGGCAGCTTAAAATATGTTAAAAGCAAAAAACCTAGCTGCCCCTAGCACGACAGAGTGTTCTAGAATTGTACAGAGGCTCCAGACAGAATATTTAGAATATTCCTCAGGCATCCTCTAAAATTTAGGACATGTAGTTGGAGACCTCTTTCTTGCCCCTCTGAGCATGCGCATTGTGCAGCACAGAGGGAAAGTAACAGAAACTGCCAACAGTTGAGTAGTTTATCAGACCCAGCTAGCAGCACCGCTCACTGCTTTTCATTTCACAATGGCCCATGATGGTTGCTTGACCTGAAATTTCTATACCCATATAGGATCACACAGTGCATGTAAGAGCAGTACTTCCCATAATCACACACTGAATAATCCTTGGCTTATTTTCAGGACTGTTGGTATAGGAGGAGCCTATTGAGAGTGTGGAGATGGAAGTCCAGGGTTTCCAGGACTGTCCAGTTCCCCTCCTCCATGTGGACACGAGAAGGAATCAGGCCAAAGAACTGAGTCTAGAACTTCCAGTACAGCACATCCATCTGCAGCTGCCAGTTGCTGAGCTGTGGGAGCTTCATCTGTAGGGGCTTCGGATGTTGTCCCACAAAGTTCTTCCAGCTCTTTCTTCTTACTATAAAGAGAGGTTTTCTGCTATAAAGTCCAGAGTGATTCTTACCTTTTCAAACCCATGGCATGTACATGAAGATAGTGTTTTCATGCTTTATCTTTACATGGTTTGACATAGTATTTCTTGTGCTGGAGTAGTGCTATAGTCCTCAAGGGTTCATAGGTGTTAATACTGTATGTGATATGGTATACGTTAACTACTCTACAGTACAGTGCTGACCTATAGATGACATGCCTATATTTATTCCTATAAAGTCCAAAGTGATTCTTATCTTTTCAAACCCATGGCATGAATCCGTGACCAGTGAATCGATAGGAATTCATCATTTTCCTAAGATCTTGAGTAGATGGTACCATGGAATCTGATTTGTAGACAAAAATCTGTGGTCTGTATGGGCCCAGGTCATAAAATCGAGGGAAATTTTTAGCATGCATTTAAGCACGTTTCTCATCCATTCGAAATAGTTGGTGTATATGGGAGGTCAGACACATCGGTCATTGGATGGTGGAATATCAGTTATTTCAGTGCTGGAATATTGAAATTATTTTATCAATGGAATTATCTTAAGAATTTTTTCTGTATCTGCAAAAAGTAACAAGCCTTATAACCATGCTGATATTGAAATGCTTGAAAGAGAAAGTAACTGTACTCACTTCATAGCAACAAGAGAAATCCATACATCATTCTTTGTCGATGTATAATATAAAAGAGATTAAAATAATTCTTTGTCTGAAATATATATGTGAAGCTGTATGAGTATATTCTGCTACATATAATGAAATACATAAATTGGAAAACACTAATTATTAAGCTGCGTAATCTTCAAATAATGATTTTTAGACCAATTTTTGTAGAATCTTAAGTTTCCTTGAGATACTCCTTTTCTCCATATGTTTTTCAAATCTTCCCTTTTCTGTGTACATAGAGATCTTCTTGTTTCCAGTGGATCTTTTTCCTCAATTCTGATACCACTTTCAGAATATAGACTGTCAAAATAAAATATCTTCTGGCATATATATCTCCGTATCTATCTATATAATGGTTATATCCGCATTAGATAAAGCGTTTTGCACTAGAGGAGATGTCTAACTAGAAAGCAGTAAAACAATTAGCATTGTTGACCTTGTTGTTGGAGCTGATATTTAACCGGCAAATATTTATATAGAAGTGACATTTCACATATATAAAAATATACTACAGGTGAAAAACATATGAGTCATTGTTTAAGGAGAAGTCTTAAAAAACAAGGTGGAAGGCCCCAAAATATTTAGATACTAAATCTGGCAACATGGAACTTGTTGAGTATATTTTCAATAAATGAACAGTTTAATTCTCTGCTGTGTAACTTAAGTATCTTGAGCTACTGTGTTATTTCATACTGGCATGTATGTTTGTTTGCATAGGTACGTGCTCACCAGTTAGTTTTACCACCTTGTGACGTAGTGATCAAAGCCGTAGCTGACTACGTCCGTAACATTCAGGACACCACTGATTTGGATGCCATAGCAAAAGATGTTTTTCAACATTCACAGGTAAAGTATAAAGCAAAATATTGGTTTGGGGTTTTTTTAAAACCATTGTGCTGTACATTTGTGTTGAAGAATGGCATTCTATAAAAATAGTGTTTTGCATCAGTTGATAATAGGAATCTATTGGTATATGCAGTGTTTTCGATGCCCTAATTTAACTTTCCGCACTTTCTGAAGGTAAAAATATGGCATTTACCCTCAGTGCTTTAAAGTTAAATTCTTGATAACCAAGGGGGTTTTGTAGTCTGGCTTTGTGCACTGTCATTGAGAATCAGTGGTACATGAAGATAGTGTTTCCATGCTTTATCTTTACATGGTTTGACATAGTATTTCTTGTGCTGGAGTAGTGCTATAGTCCTCAAGGGTCCATAGGCGTTAATACTGTATGTGATATGTTATACAGTAACTACAGTACAGTGCTGACCTATAGATGACATGCCTGTATTTGTTCCTGACAGAGCTTTTTTTTTTTTATTTTAGTCTAGAACAGATGACAAAGTTACTCGGTTTAAGAGAGCAGTTGCTTATTATTCAGCAACTAATAAACCTATGCCATTTCATCCACCACATTACCTAGGTAAGTATTTTAAGGAAACAGGGCTTTTCATTGTAACTAAAACCTGGGATAACCCTAAATCAGAAATAGTATTACTAGCAGGGTCTTATAAAAATGTTTATATTCTCTGGCAATTTTCACTGACCCTTGATTATGAGGTTTCAAAAGAAGGTTTTCATAGGCTACATGCAGAGGTTGTATTCTTTCCTCCAAAAGAGGAGAACAACCTGGACTGATTTTCCTCTTAGCTATTGCTGCATCGGTCCTAGCATTAGGACACTTAAGAGTATGGTGCTGTAAACAAGTGAAATCGGGTGACAAGTTCCAATCATGAAGACAGTTTCTATTTCTATTCCATAAAATATATTTCCAGTTTCTCATTGGACTTAGCTGAAATGTTTTAGAAATCCCTTCATAGTCTTTGATTTTTTGATGTCGTAACATACCTGCCTAAATTGCAGCCACAGATTGTTCTGGCATTGCAGATTATTCTCAAGGCTTACAAATTAACTGTGTATGATCACTTTTCTAGCATGGGCGTTCACTGATGTGCTACAAATACCTCTTAGTCTTAATACTAAAACATAATTTGAGCTGGGATTTTCTAAAGATTTTCAGTCACCATACTGATACGCTAATGCAGATTTTTTCCTTCTCTTTTTGGGGGGGTGGGGTGCGGGTGTCTTTATGTTCAAAGACCTACATTAAAGGGCATTAAGGCTGATCTAGGTCAAATATTTCAATGATGGAAAGTGCCAGCATTATGTGTCTGTGTGACATTGTTTTTGCCGGCTTCATTATGATGTCTCTTGGACTTTTTTTTGTTTTAGCTTCCTTTGATTCCCAGGTAGAATAGAAATGTGCAGTAATGGGAGATACAAAGTACTGAGAGAAGGTGAGAGAAGTGAAATAGACTTCACAGGCTGCAAAGTATTTTTATTAAAAGGCAGAAATTAATAAAACTGACTTAAAGACATACTAGAAAACAGTAACGCTAAGAGAACAAGAATAAATAAACCATAGAAGCAAAAGGATAAAAAGGGTAACATTTGTGTCAAATAGTGAGCATTTTCATGAGTGTTTGGGTTTTTTTGTGTGTTTTTTTTTTTTTTTCTTCTGTTTTTCCCCTCCCTGTTTGCAATGCAGCAGCCAGACCAAATCAGTTTGGTATGCCTGGGATAGTGCCACCATATGTTCCTTCTCAGATGCTTAACATTCCACAGACCTCACTACAAGCAAAACCTGTGGTAAGTATAGCCCTCTGACCTTCTTCTTGGGAGAATCCTGGTGTGCTCATCAAATTAAAATCTAGGTGGAAAATATCTAGCTTTTTTAGCATGGGTGGTCACTGATCAAGTCTGGAACTATAGTGATGCCACAGACTCTGGTAGAACAATTTTTGTGGACATCCAAGATGGCTGAGATTTAATGTGTACATTTGGAAAATGCCACTTGATTAAATAATGTATTTTGTTTTAAAAGAAAAGCCTTTTTGGTACCTTCACTTAAGAAAAATCACTTTATTTTAGGCCCAGCAGATGTCCAATCAGGGTGGGACCCAAGGTCAGGGTCCATACCCATATAGTCTCTCTGAGCCAGCTATCACCTTGGAAACAGGTGGAAAAAGTCTTTCTGAGCAGAACAACTACAGTAACATTCCTCACGAAGGAAAACATACACCATTGTATGAACGATCTTCTCCAATAAATCCAGCTCAGAGTGGGAGCCCTAATCATGTGGATTCAACCTATTTTCCTGCCTCTTCTACATCTTCATCCTCTGACAATGATGAAGGCAATGGTGGTGCAGCAAAGTAAGTTTTTCATAAGGATGTTTTCTTACATGGCTTCTGTTAAATTTACTTTCAGAATCGTTCACCAGTATCCTGAAAGAAATCTGCAAGTTAGTGATATCTCGATAGACTTTCAAAAAATAATTTTAGGTCACTATGACTGTGGTTCACATCCATGGTTCACTCTAGTTGCCCTGTTCCTTAAGAAGTAGAAACTCAAAACCAAATAATGCTGGGTGTTTTTCTGCTTCTGTCCTTATGTTTTATTGAAAGAAGGAGAGAGTGAAGTTTTGGTAAATGTCATAAAGCCTTTGAGTTCTTTACTTTGTATAAAAGAAATATTCCTACTTCACCGTATAATTTATTAAAATTTCAGTAGCTAGAAACTCAAACTTCACTGAATTTGTAGTGTTTACACTTACTAAATTTTGGTATAATGTGGCTTTGCAAAGAAACCTGGTGTGAATGTCAGAAACTCACCATTCAGAACAGTGACTTAAGAGCCCTCATTGACAGGCTGTGTGTGGAACACAGGAGCAGCGAAGTTGGTTTTGCTCTCTTGTACTAATGGGCCTTGTTTACTACAGAAGTATTTCTGACTTCCACTAGATCGTACGTCCGTCTGGCAATAAAGTTGTGCAGACTTTCTTTTTTGTAGGTCAGCAAGCAGTAATTAAATGAAATGTGAACAGAGGCAGTTTGTGTTTACCTCTGTCTTGTTAGGTGTAGTGGCTTACTGCGTGAGAATCAAAGCTGGGGGCTTTAGCAGGTCTGTGATTGGCTCTAAGCATTGTGTATAGTAGTATAAATGTGTTACTACTTGGTATTAAGTTCTGAATGTGTCTACAATTATGCATAATGGCTTGGACTTTGGGTGGTTTTTTTAATGCGTTCTGTCAATTTGAAATGCTATCATGTGTTTTGCTTAGTAAATCGAGTAAGTTTGCATGGCTTCCATGCAGTGTAGAACTGGAAACGTACCTGCTTTAGAAGAAAATGCAATGTTCTTCAGCATTTTTTATAGCGTTGCTATATGCATTTTATGCACTAAATTTCGAATAAATTTAGAAACTGAAATCTGGACAGTGTCATTTATATCAGTTTGTAGAAACAGTCTTCTAATTGAGGGAAATTACTTGGCATAGTGGCAAATATTTAAAGTTCAATCAAGAATTTTTCCTGCATGAACATTATTTAGTCGTTGTTAATATACAGCTTTTAAATACAGTCCAAGTGTTGACAGTGTAAGTTAGTAAATGTCGGTATTAATGTCTCTTCAAGACTCCTACAAATTGACGTTTCTAATGCAGAGCATCCCTTAAAATCAGATTCTCTGGCCCATAGTTCCAATAAAAATTAGCAAGGATTTATGCCATTATATCTTAAACAGCACTTTAATACTATGTTTTTCTGTGTTGTCCTTCAGCCATGTCAGTGGGAACAAAATAGGCTGGGAAAAAACAGGAACCCAGTCAGAAAGCCAAACGCGTGGAGAGCTGGGAGACCAAACAAAGGTAATTCCTTAAATTCCAAACATCACCATTTATTATTTTGTATTAAAGCTTTACAGCAAACTGAGTACTGTTTTCAATAGTGATCTGTAGGATTTGGTGTAAACTTCTACATATTTTTGTGAATTACAAAACAAACAACAGCTTTAAAGTACAGTAAGATGTTTTCCAAGGAATATTGTATCATGTACATTAAAAATGAAAATTAAATAGGATGTGTTAAAAAATACTGCATATAAGATAGAAACCAATAAACTTCTTTACACCTTAGCTAACAATCTCATCCTTGGCTATTGCTACCTGTGTTCACAGTAGTGCATTATTTTGATTTTTACTAAGGCGTGTAGCAATTTAAGTGTCTGTGGGTTCAGGGTCCATGTCGTGTAACCTACAGTGTAGTGAGAACAGCTCTAACAGGCATTTCAGTGTTAGCCACAGGCCATTATAGGTGTATTAAAGCTCAGCTGAGGAGTAAAAGTCCTTCATAACCGCCTGGTATGAATTTCACATAATAAAGTAGCTCCGTGGGACCACTTAGAATGTATTGCTACTAACTAAGGAAGGATGGGATAACTAAGTCCTTGATAAAGATTTAACATTATCTTATTAAATTTCTTCAAGATTTAAAACCATTGTAAAATTAAGAATATGATGGTCTGTATTCCAAGTTTGAGCCATGTTTAGAAAGAACATTCAAAGCATTTGCGCTTAGTATCTCTGCATCTTTGTGATGGAACTGTGCAACCAGCTTGTTAATTTTGTGTCAAAAAAACCCAATCATAAGTTACTTACGCTGCAGACAAACGGAACATTTTCCCTGTACCTTTGGCATAGAAATTCCAGTAAACTTGGGCTCTGTGCTTAAAATATCAAGCTGATGATTTCATCCATCAGTGGTTATTATTTTTGCAGACTACGCCCCGTACGATAACTGTATCTGCCTGCAGATTAGTCACCATATGCAAATGCTAATTTGACCTATTACATTCCTTTCTCTGTATCACGGGCCGTGTAGGAAGCCCGGCGCAGCCCAGCTGCAGCCCTGCGTGTGCGCTGCACAGCCCGGTGTCCTGCGGCGGGGGGAGCAGCCAGGGCAGCAGTGGTCAGGTGGGACATGCTGCACAGCATGCCTGGCAGCCTTTGTGCACACACAATTGTAGCTGTATAAGCCATGATGAAACTTTCCAATAGATGTATGCATGCAGGCCAGCTGAAATGCATCCAATTTAACATATAATTGCTTTTGGGTTTTACTTGCCTTTTTTTTTTTTTAAATATCAAACCACTTCTTCAGTCTTCAGTAGCAGGAGAAGACAGTTGCATCTGTTGAGCATGACAGGGAGAATTATAAGACATTTTGTAGATGAACTCATTTCCTAGAGAGGTATATATTAATGATTAAAAAAAATATAAGTATTTGCTGAAGATTTGAACTGAGCTATGTGAATTTCTGAGGTAATTTAAAGTGCTGAAAATCTAGCATAGATCAGACAGGTAGAGCAATCTTGACAATCCTTTCACTTGACTTACGTGTCAAAATTCCTTGATTGTAGTTGTCTCACTGCGTGGTTATACGTGACAAAGGTATGCTCGTCTCATTTGGGTGGCTATTACTAATGGAAAAAAAAATATCCTTTTAACTGTGGTAGTTCCTTGGCTTAAGTGTTTGAATACCGCTGGAGCAGATCCAGGAAGAACCTGGGCAGTGCAAACGGAGAAAGCATTGCTATCATTTGGGGTTTTTTGTTCTCTTCCCTCCGTGCCCCCAGTAATGGGCAGTTCTGTAAACTTCTTTTTATGGTCCAGTATCACTGACTTTTGTTAGGGTGGTAGAAGACTGGGACAAGTATCTTTAAACTGTTAAAGGAATATATGAGATAATATAACGCAGATTTAATGTGTGATAAATAGCTTTAGCTGTGATAGCTTATATGTTCATAAAAACATTCTGTATTAGTATATTGTGTTAGAAGTGCTCTGGTTTATAGTTTTTAACCATTTCTTCCATATATTTTCATTTTTATAAATAAAATGAAGTCTGGACTACCAACTCTAAAATATAATCTTTCAGTAACGTCCTCTTTGATTGTGTGCTTAAAATGTAATCGAAAGTAATGTTGCCCCTTTGATACTTTGCTAGAGCATGTTTTCACTAATATACACCTTCCTGCAGAAAGTTTTTGGAGGTTTTGTGCAGGTGTTTTGGTTTTTACATGCAGGTTTGTATTTTTCATAAGAGCCTGAAGCTGAGCTTGTTTGGGTCTATTTTTTATGTAACTTGTTCTGTGGGATTTCATGTCTTTTCTGTTTCAGCTTTGCTTTTTAAAGTCTTATGAACCATGTGAAATTTTCTACACAAATTGTGAAAATCCGCATGTGTGATGTATCATCAAGTGAACAAATTAAATTTCAGTCTCAAAAGTTTTTAATATTTGTGTAATAGCTTATAGGCATGAAACTAGTATGAACTCTTAGGCTTAAAAACAGCTTTCAGTTTTGAAGACAAGGATTTTTAGGAATGAACTCTACATTTTTTGGTAGTATCTATGAGAGATCCAACATAAGTACTTACAAGAGGTTTATTCACTGGGAGGTTTATAGTATATTTTTATGCATCTTGTTTTTCCTACAAATTTGTGAACTGTATTTCTAGAAATGGAATAAAATGCCACTTTAGTCTTGCAGACAGAAAATGCCATTTTCTTTTAAAAATCATCTTCTCAGAGAAAAGACTTCTATGTTTAAAAAACCCTAACAAACCATTTACAAGGCTTTTGAGTTCAGACACTGTGTATTTTAAATGTCTTTAAATTGAACTATGTAGTTTTTCCTGCTTAGTTTAGAAATGCAAACTGAGAAGGAAAGTCTAGGCAAATTATAGACTTTGTGACTGTCGGTTAACCCATTTAATTGGTAATATCTTGGAAATACTTAGTGAGAGGTCATTTACATTTCATTAAGAGGTCATCAGTCCCCCTTCTGTATTGTACAATTAAAAATGAAAGAAAATAATAATTACTGTTGCTGTTAATAAGTTAAAGCTTTAGCATAATTTTTTTTTTTTTTTTTTTTTTTCCAGTAATTGGCTTCTGCTAGCAAACAATGGCTGAAAGTTTACATTTTCTGAAAAACTTTCAGCCGGCTTTGGATAATGTATTCTACATACTGATACAATGTGATGTGAAGATTTACTATTTTCATTGTGGGTGAAGAAGGAAATGTGCTGTTTTTCTTGGCTGATCTCCTGGCATGTTTCCGTACACATTCAAGAGCACTTTATTTTGTATGTTCTGTTACAGGCAGAAGGTTCCTCTAGTGCTTCTTCAGGAAGTCAGGCAGCTGATGTCAAAGGGAATCAAACCAGTAATCCACAAATCCCATGCCTGTTGTCAATGCCCACGAGAAACCACATGGATATTACTACCCCTCCATTACCTCCTGTAGCACCTGAAGTATTAAGAGTGGCAGAACACAGGCACAAGAAGGGGTTAATGTATCCCTACATCTTTCATGTCCTAACGAAGGTATGACATTTTAAAATTATGTACTGTGAAATAATGATTCTGTAAAGATAATTTCACTTCTTGCTAAAGAGTATCATAAGTTTATGTCCTTTTTAATGCTTTGAGTTTTGGTCCATTTTTAGTGCTTCTGACTTATCCCGCCCCCTCGTTTTCTAACCACTGATCTGGTCTTGTGCATTGTTCCAATAAATATGAGATGACTGTAGTTAGAAGTGTTTACTTAGAAAATTAATAATTTTTCCTGAACTTATGTAGATATTTTTGTATCTCTGTGCATGTGTGTATATGTCTCTCTGTGTGTATATATATATGTGTGTGTTTTTATATAGAGCCTATTTCCATCTAAAAATTCCTGCGTATGTGCTTTGGTGTCTGTGCCAAGTCTTTTCTATTTTCAGTGTTCAAAAATACTTAGATTGTTTTCCCTCACAACTTGATCCCTCCCATCCCTGGTAGCTAGCCATGGTAGAAACATAGCAGCTATAAGAAATCCCTTTTGTATAATCTTAAAATGTAATTATAGATTAACTCGATGAAGTTCAGGATTTTTGTTCATTTTAGTTTGGCAGAACATTTCTGATGGCTTTTTTTAATGTACTAACCTTCAGATCCTAGGTAAGCTGCAAGCATTTTCATACAGCCTAGGACTCTTTGTCTGCTCAGTGTGTCCAGTAAAAAAAAAAAATCTACCTGAATGGCCACATGAGGACACCTTGGAAAGCAATGGGAGAGCTTCTTACAGAAATAGGTAGTGGTAGGCTGCTTCAGCATGCCTGGAAGCTGCTGAAGTCTGCTTTGTGTTGAACTGGGAAGGAGCCAGAGCAGTGGTGTTCCTGCACAACTCTGTATTTGACTTAATCTAGTCTCAAAAGACATGAGTTCATTGTTTCTTCTAAGTGCAAACAGATGAGTCCCAGAATGAGACAACTTTAATCTTCTTCCTCTTTAGTGTTCAAAACGCTTAGTACCGGTTCTCATACATCAAGCCCATTCAATGTACATATTTGTGCAGCATCTAGCAAAATGGCACTGTCCGCATTCCTGTTAACTTGTATTCATCTTAAAAGTCTGCTTCAGGACATTAAGAACTGTAGGCAGGGATCTGAAATGCATTAAAAAGAGAAGTTTCTGCAATCAGGATTGAGCTTTGGATTTCCTATTTCCTATGTGTGTGTGTTGCACCACAGCTTGTGTTGCTGTCATGTTCTTACACTTCCCTCCTTTATCAAAGAAAAGTGGGGAAGAATCAAAAGGTGTATGAAGACCATTAATGTCAGTTCTGTTTCATACTTTACACAGCCAAATATTCTCAGTACATTTAAATACTACTTGATACTTAATATCATATCTCACAATGGGAAGAAATGAATTAAATGCCTACGTTTAAGAAATCCACTCCCAACAGAGGGTAAAAAAGTCAAACTAGAGGTGGCTGCATCAAAAATAAATCAGTACTACTTAAGACTGTTTTTCTCTCCTCACTCTCTGAAATGCTTTTGAACTAGTATGCTCAGGGAACCCAAAGTATACCATGGGTAAACTGACAGGTATCTTGTTGTATAATGATGGGATTCTTTAGAAATTGTCACGTAGAGGTGTTCCAGGTTATGTTGCTGCTATGTATAAAGACCTTTCAGACATACCTTATACCTAAAGTAGAGTTGTCTGAATTAAGCCTGACAATATCCTAATGTAATCACTCCAAGACGTCACCTACAACATTCGTTAATGGGACAGTTCAAATGTTTTTTTAAGTGAAAGTAGCAAAATGGAGCGCTTGCTTGTCAGTGTTGAAAATAAAGGCTCATATTTGGGAGCAATACAGTGAAGTCTGTTGTGTTCCAAGAAAACTTAACATGGTTGGATGCGCAGACGCAGAAAACGGAATGTTGCTGCTGTTTTGAGAGAGAATGTTGGAAGGCGCTTTCATGCTTTTTTCTGAAAAAGTATAAAATGCTAAATTTATATACATTCAAAACCAACCTTACTTATGTAATTCCCAGTTAGGATTTTCTGAACAGGTCTTCTCATAAAGTTGGGGTTTTTTACAGTGAGTCCCCAAGTGCTGCTTCAAATCCTTGCACCAAAAAGTCACTGGTGTTTTTTAGACAGCGTGAATATTTTTTAAAATATCTGTCTGAAATGCAGATGAGCTTCAAATGTGCTTTGACTGTCTATGAGCACATTACTGTATCTTCATATCTACTTGCTGCATCTTCATATGTACTATTTCACTGTTCAAAGTATCCGTATTTGGAGATCAATATTTAAGTAATCCTCATCTGCAGATAGTCCAGCCAAAAAAAAAAAAAAAAAAAAAAAAGGTGTGTGATGGAGAAGAGAAAGAGGGGTGCAGCATGGATAATCAGAGCCTGGAGACTTATTGGGGGAAAGCAAGTAGATTGTAGGGTACTCCGCTGGTGTTGCCTTCACATACTGCTCCATCACATTTTTCTTGACTAGATGAGATTTATAGTAGAGCTGGATTGAGTTACCATGCATATCTAAATACTTTCTGTTCACTATAACATACATTTTTCTGCTTGCTTTCTTTCAAAAGGGTGAAATCAAAATTGCTGTTTCTATAGAAGATGAAGCCAACAAAGACCTGCCTCCTGCTGCTCTCCTTTATAGGCCAGTTCGTCAGTATGTTTACGGAGTCCTGTTTAGTTTGGCAGAAAGCAGAAAGAAAACGGAAAGACTTGCTTTTAGAAAGAACAGACTTCCACCAGAATGTATGTACTGTAGAATCCATTCTTTATTTCTTTTCCCTTTGCTATGTTTTCATATCCATTTGTACCGTGATTTGAATGAGAAATTACCAAGTTTTCATCGGTGTAGCTAATGCTGGAGGAATTTATGGCTTATTTGATCCATGGATAATAGAAAAAGTTGTTAATTTGAAATTTTATTTCGTCTAGTAGTTAAAGAACTATAAATGTTACCATTTCTAAGCAAGCTCTGGGGTTTGTTTTTTTAAATGTATGCTCAAGCTGCTGTCAGGCTTGCAGCAAGTAATGTCAGTTTATGATGTAATTCTCAAAGTGTATGGCAGAACTTGATTATAGGAAACTTCTGTGCATATACATACAAATTTGCATACTTTTTTGGAAAAATGAGATGTATGTATGTTAACTTACTCTATCTTCCCAACCTACTTCAGTAAAATTTGCAAGTCTGTAGTATCTTTCAGGTATTGGCATGTAAAAACTTGGTTTAAAATCTGCAGAAGTCAGGTGTGATGTAAGTAATGGTAGACTTGGGTGAAGACAGACTAAACTTTTACAGACAGACTTGTCAAAAGATCCTTTTGCTAATTCAGAGGGATGAATCTTAATCTTCATATTAATCTGGAAGTTGTCTTTTTAAGTCTTCTGCTTCCAGGAATTGCTGTCATTCCAGAAAATTGAACCTCCTCATTCTAAAGTGTTTTTCTTATAATGAAATGCATACAAGGAAATGATTGAACTTTACAGTAGCATCTTATAAAGGTTAAAGTAATGTTAAAGCATTAAGTGGATGGCGGCAGCAGCAGCAGAAGTATTTATATATTTGAGTCTGCTATCACTAGACTAAACTTAAGAATCAGATATTTAGAATGTATGAAAGCATCATTCACAGTCTGCATGTGTAAAAACATAAAAATAAGAATCAGTTGTAAACTTTACATTCATTCCCTTTTCTCTTTCCATTTTTAATTGTGAATTGTTTTCAATTCACATTCATAGTGAAGTTTATAATCTTCCAATGATGTTTGAAAAACTGTTTATCTTAGCCAGTTATTTCATGGGAATTAATATTTACCCTGCTTCAACAATATCTCCGCACATGTATTCTCACAAACTTCTTAATTCTTTAAACTCGCACAACATAGTAGTACTTCAGGTTTTAAGGTTATTTCAGGATTAAAATAGTGAAGTTTTTTGCAGTATTCGTTTATCCTCATTAGACTTCTGTCCTTAAAAGTGTACTACAGTGTTTGTAGTGGTGAAGTAGCTGAGTGCTGAAGGTCTGCTTCAGTTTTCAGAATGTTTTTATCTTGTAAACCTAGAATGTTCTCTGTAGGCTACTGCGGATATCTGTATAATCTCTATTTTCTCTTCATTTATACTGCCTCTCAGAGGTTTATTCTCAATGGCGGCTAAGAACGCTACTGCTGACTTGATTTAGTTACAGGAGCTCTCGCAAATCTTGCTGCAGGACGCATTCAGCTACTGACCTACTTCTATCTGAGGACTGACTACGCTCTTTAAAAAAACAAAAACAAAAACAAAAACAAAAAACAACAAAACAAAAACAAACAAAACAAAACAAAAAAAAAACCTTAAAAATCGAATGTCTGCCCAAAAGTTATTTGCTTAACTGCAAAGCTAACAATGCTCATAAAGATGGATTTGAGCCAAGATGCAAGCATGTGGCTTAAAAGGGCTGTGCTGCCGGAACACATTTATTTTGTTCACCTCTCTTACAAAGCAGCAAGAATTGGGCAGACTGTGCAGGATGGAAAGAGAGAATAGTGTTTTAAGTGGCAAGATAGATTTCTCAGATCGATTAGTCACACTTATTAGCCCTCGCAAACTTCTCTGAGGACCCAAGCTATAATGAACTAGTGATGCTGAGTCTCTTTCAGTGTCTTAATTTTTTTGCTGCTCTCAAAAATGAGTAAGTTATGAAACAGTAATTAAGGCAATTAAGAGAAAATTCAAGAACTGAGACATTAAGAGAATTAAGAAATTAATTTCTGAAGAAATGTCTTTAAGATTTATGTAGAGAGTTAATAAGTATATTAATATCTAAAATTCTGTCATCTTTGTTGTACAACCCATAACACTGGCAACATACGAATTATTCACACACAATTATTAAGTATATTGCATGAGAGGTATGTTGCATAGGAGGCTGTGAAAAATACATAATAAACTGACACATCAGAATTATTGCTAAATGTATAGACAGCAAGATAATGGATCTTTCATAAAATGGATGGATTCCTGTCTTTTAAATCATTATTATTTCTATGTAGTTGAAAAGCCAATAAAAAACAACAGATCTGTAGGAAGAGGTAGTCAGTGGGGTTCTTCAGTGATAACTGTCTGCTAAGTAATGCCATTTCTGTACATGTCCTCAAGTCTGCTCCCAGAGAAAAGCTGAATCACAAAGTCCTTGATTGTGCTTTTGCTGCCAAGGGCACAGCACTGGCTGTGCTGCCCTTCCTTCTGAGGAGATGGAAACCTAGCGTCTGGCTTGCTCTTCTTTTTAAGCTCTGAAACAGGTTGTTTCCCGTGTTCTGATAAATACATGTGTGTAGATGAAACCATCTGCCTTTTCCACTCTGTGGAAAAACGCACACTTGCGCAAGCTGTCATAACTCCAGGTTGGATCCAAAGGTTTGTTATTTTAAGCCTAGCCACCTTGTGATGTACTGTTCTCCATCAAGGATGTATTCAGCTGATGCTGTTTCTGCCAAAAGAAAAGCTGTACCTTGGGCAGTAGCCCTTTTGCAAAATCAAGCATGCTTAGCTCAAGCTGTACTGTCAGTAAAGATTATAAGGTTAAAAATGAGGCTTGATTAATCTGCATTAGCTAGCTCATCTTCTAGTGGTATTAGGTACCTCACACCTCATGTTCAGTTCATGGAAAAAAATGCAAAGGGAATACCAAAACCACCTGAGCTGTAGTTGGCAACAGGGGCTCTGACAGACGGCTTGAGTGTGCAGTGTGCTGTTGCTAATGACTTCAGGGCCTGTAACAACATTCACATTTTATCAAGCAGGTTACCCCAATGCAAATTGATGCTTTACCCTTTTTACTTGGATTGACCTTAAAGTGTTGTGAGTTTTATGTTCAAAGCAGATGCCAATATACTGTGCAGTTGCTTAGGCCACTTTGAGTATTCAAATCTGCTGATCAGCAGCAGGAGGAAGCTTAGTATGAAAAACAGCGTAATTAGCACTGTGATGTTGTGGCTGAACACACGGTGATCCTGAGTTGTTGCTAATGTAGTCTTCAGGGTAGGCATTGCTTATCTGCAAGTGGAAGTCCTGGGAGGAAAACACAAAACATTCCTCTGAGGACAGATATCCTCAGCAGCTGAGAAGACAGCGTCTTTGGCAGCAGTCCCAGTACAGAGTTGTCAAAGGTGTAAGAAATGCCCTGGAGAAAGAAGTGGATATGGACAAAGTCCTGGATTCATCTGCTATGTTAAATGCTAAATTTGGGTGAACAGCGCTACAGTTACTTGTCAGCTGATACAGCTGTTAATTCCTCATCCCCATCATTCAGAGAGGACTGTTTGCCAGTCCACTAGAGTGACCTTCATATTTTAAACCATTCTGCAAGGAGCGTGGTTACTTTTCCCGTAATAACCATTCACACAATTTTGAAGCCAGTATCAATCTCCAGTATGACCGTAACAGGTAGCATGTTAACTGTATATTTTGAGAGTAAATCGCGGTACTCCTCCTATGGCCTTAATTTCATAGGGTTGTGGAAGTTATCATCCCCAGATTAAAAGCTTTGAACCAAATTTGAATGTTGAAACATAGGATTGCCGATAGAAAACAGACATAAAATATTCCCTTCTTCTAAGCTTGAGGTCTTTATACATGGAATATATGTGAAAGACACAATAGTGAAACATTTGTGTTCTGTACAGCTCCGTCTCCTTGCTGCTGGCTGCTGTGACAGGAGTTGTGGAAGCTGAGGAATTGGTCATCTGAGGATGCTCAAATGCGATGTGCACGTAGAGTTTGCATCTGCTTGCCTCTGGAGGGGCATCCAAACTGAGCAACCAAGTGTAGCTAGGAATATCACCTCCGTTGTCAAAAGGAGGTTGAAGGAAGGAAAAATACAACTCTAAAACAGAAACAGCTATTTTATGTCAATTGTCAACAGTTTGGGGGGGGGGGTGTACTGCTAACAGATTAAACTGTTCTGCAGAGTAGCCTCATTGTGTTTCCTGCCTGTTTGCTGAGAGAGCTAAAAAGATTTGGTCCAAAAGTATCTCTTGCTTCTGAGACCTAAAGCAATTAAACAAGTCTTTGAAAGCCTACATAAAATACATCCTTTTATTTGTTCATTTTTACTGTCCCAGGCCTGAACAAGAAGTGAAAACTGGTGTGATAAACTATGCACAAATAACAGAGTAGCTCTGCTGGCTGCCACAGCCCATCTTGCATAGCTTGGTGGCATATAAAAACTGGTAGCAACCAAAATAGAACATGATTTTGCAGTGAGGCTACCAACTAAATATATCAGAATATTTATTTCCATTGCTGTGTGTTATCTTTGTAAAACTTAAGCCTGAGCTCTATGAAATGTAGGTATAATGCTAGAGTAGTTTTATTCCAGAAAAGCATGAAAGTGCTTTGGGATGTTCTGGAGAAGGTGGTTCTTTTAATCCCGATCATCACCTCTGCCTCCCCTTAACTATAAAATTACTTGTAAGGCTGACATCTGATTGCTGAAGGAGACTCTAGCTGTAAGGGCTGTCCTGGCACCAGCAGTACTCTTCTCCACCTGTAACAGAAAGATTCTAGCAGAAAGAGCAGGTCTGTGCTCCTGCAGTGAACCTCTCTGGGCTGTAACCTGAAGCTTCACTAACAAGCTCCTTGAATCTTTCCACACTGCATAACTGGGTTCTGAGTTACGAAGGATGCAAACAAATTTTGAGCTGTGTCAAATTTGGGGTCATTCCAAGGCCAAAGGTATCATTTCTCAGTCTTGACTTTTTGTTTGTTTGTTTGTTTTTAAATTGTGTTCTGTTTTTGTTGCCTTCAAAGGTAAAAAGGGAGATGATTTAGCAGCAATATAGAGTTGAACAGTCTTTGTTTTGAGGTGGATAAAAAGGAGCTTAGCAGACACAGAAATACTAACATCATTACAGAAAGCAGTGCAGTAAATTGAAAGGCTTATGTAATGTTTTGTAAAACTTCAACGCACCTATATTTGAGATCTTGTTCCATTGCAGTAGTTGAACAACTACAAACAAGTTTAACCGAAGTTCTAAATCTGATTTGAATAAAATCACTTGGATCATATTGTTCTTAAAAGACCAGATACAGAATATATTTGTATTTATGCACTATTTTTATTTATCGCTGTAGGTTTTTGATCAATGACGCAGTTCATTTGTTTCAGAAAAATATATGTAGTTCCTTTATGTTGTGTATGAATTTGAAAATATTAACGTAACATTCCTAGCGTACACTTGGTTGCATGCACTTAATTTGTGAGTGAGTGCATTTGAAAGGTGGTCCATACAGAGTTTGAACTATCAATTTGGCAATGTGATGCATTGGTATCTGTCTCAGTCTCAAAGTGATGCTTTTTGGATCAAAATCTCTTGCATACAAATTTTTACATGTACACTGCTTTTTAACTCGGAATGTTTTCTTTCGACTGTTGTCATTTTGTAGTTTCACCAGTGATAATTAAAGAATGGGCTGCTTACAAAGGAAAATCTCCTCAAACCCCTGAGCTGGTGGAAGCACTTGCCTTCAGGGAATGGACCTGTCCTAATCTGAAGAAGCTGTGGCTGGGAAAAGCAGTAGAAGACAAAAACCGAAGAATGAGAGCGTTTTTGGCCTGTATGAGATCAGATACACCAGCAATGCTCAATCCAACTAATGTGCCCACTCATCTTATGGTGCTCTGTTGTGTACTAAGGTCAGTATTATCTGAAGGTAAAACAGAATGAAGAAAAGGATTTACTGCATAATCTCTCTGACATACTTAACTTTATATTAAACCATGAGCATAGAAAGTGTTAATTCATATTTGCAGCGTCGCTACGAGAAGGGGTTTGTTTTTTTGTTTTGTTTTGTTTTTAAGAACGTTGCTGCTGTGAGTCTTAAAAGCATGCTGTGTATTCAACATTTCTTTCTTCGTTCTCTAGAGGACTGAAGAGAGGAGGAAAATAAAAATCTTGTGTTGCAGAGAGGCCACTGTAGCATTTGAATTAGTTTACCCTTACTATACTCTAGGCTTCAACTTACTAAAAAATAATATTCGGGGTCTCAGAGGCCATGTTGGTAAAGTTGTAAAGCAAGAGAGAGTTCTTCAAAGAACAGCTGTGTAGCAGCTATCAGGATGCAAAGTTCACATGAATGATACTTGTGCCTGGGATGTGTTAGATTCCCTGCGTCAGAATTGCTCATCTATTTGAGACTATAATAACCAACAGTTGAAGTATTAATTCTGTACTTCAGCTTTATAATGAGAAAGTCACAAGGTCCAAAATACTTACCTGTTTAATTTTCAGATTGAAAATTGAGGAATGGAGAGATGCTTATCTTTTTGGAAAGGGGTGATTATTTCAATACGACTAGCTTATAAATCTGGCAGAATCCAAGGTTAGCATGTTGCACACAAAAAATTTTAAGCCATTTTTGGGAGTGATGTCATTCTTTCGTACTTTGTTTTGCCTTTTGAGCACTAGAACGCCTTTGGTTTTGTCCTTATAGAATAGTAAGTATACAAAAAATCCAAATGGTATCTTGAAGCAGAGCTCTTCATTCATTTGGACAGCATGTTTCTCCCCTGTGACACATGGCGTATATAAATTGTTGTTCATTAAGATGCAATGAGCATAACATTTACTGAATTCTGAGTACTGTGTTATCTGGAAACCATGTTCCCAAAGTCATCTTACCGTTAGCCTTTTTTTATGAAGAACATTAATCTTTATATTATTTTATTTTTAGATGTAACAGACTCCACTTATGTTTTAAATTCTGTTTTGGCAGCCTGTCCTCCCCATCTTCAGGGGAAGCAGGCTCTTGCACAACTGATTCACAGCCAGTAGCTCTTCCATAGGAATTTAAACAAATGTAAACTTCAAATTTATTTAGTGTTTTCACCTTTCTAACTATTCAAGTCTAGACAAAAAAAAAAATTCCCCCCCCCCCCCTTGCATTCTGGTGACTTTTGATTTAAATAAAATACCACTTGATTTACCTGTTAAAGGAAGCTTCTGAATAATTATGGGCTTCCTCTGTAGGTATATGGTACAGTGGCCGGGGGTTCGTATTCTTCGTCGCCAGGAACTTGATGCTTTTCTTGCCCAAGCGTTGTCTCCAAAGCTCTATGAACCTGACCAGCTTCAGGAACTCAAGGTAATTCTTCAACTATACTTTCATAATTCAGGAGATTTAATCCCAGCTGATCCATGTTGTTAACTGCAGTGGGTGATGTGTATGTGCCTGTCTCACTAAACGCCTTGCATAATTACCTATACTTTCTAAAAGTTTAATCTTAGTATTTTAAGGTATTGCAAAGATTGATAATCCGTTCTGTTTCACTGGTTGGACAGATAACTTAAACATACTCTGTACTACAGAATCTTTTCTCACGATTTCCTAATAATTTTTTCTTGGACATTTAAAACAAATGTGCTTTCATTAAAAAGACTTTAAAAAAAAAAAAAAAAAGTTATTTCTTGTGTGGCTGTTCTTAAATACTAACCTGGATATTTTTTCACGATTCATCATTTAAAAGATTTTTGCAGCTAAGTGTAGAAATGGAGAGAGACTTGCATAATCCTGAATGGAAAAATGCAGGAGAA